GTCGCCTCCGTATCGTTAATTACCGGCCCTCATCAAGGATCAGCTCTGGCTCCCGAAATTGTCAGCTCTCGCTCCCAATCGATTATTTACGAGGTTTCTGATCTCATCTCCTCACTCTGACCCCAATCGATATGTTGACGATCATAGCGGTACCCTCCGTTTTCGTTAGCTGCTGGTAGTTTGGTCGGTCAGCAAAGGGGTCTCATGGTCTCACCTTTCTGTACGCTTTGATGACCGTCTCATACTTTAGTATCGCCTCATCGGTTAAACTCCAGGCAGAATATGACCAATCGCGTCTGGATTCCTCTCGCCTCGCCACCCTGACGCGCACACCCCCAACCAATTTAAGAATTTTCCTTGACGATGTCCGTCTCTAATCCCATGTGCACTACTATATGCAAGCCTGTCCTACCTGACCCTCCTGTTTACTCTTTCATGAGCGACAGCTTTTTTTCTTAAAAGCTAATCAAATCACATACGCCTTGCATAATTGTAAAAAGAAGGATTTCTTTTCACTGCTCGCTAACCGTTTTTAATATATGACTACTCATTCTATAAGGACGAATTTGATACTGAACAGTTTAGGTTTAGTGTTAGGGCTTGGGGTTAGGTTTAGGGTCAGTGTTAGTGTTTGTGTTTAGGGTCGCTCTCATTCCAACCCAAACCGTAACCGTAGCTCTAACCCTAATACTAACACCAGCCATAACACTCAACCTAATCCATTACCCAAATCCTAACTATAGCCGGAACGATTGAACTTAACGCAAACCCTGTCGTAAACTCAATTCTCAGCCCCTTCGCTTTGGGGGAGTGTTGCCCTGCGTGTCCCGCCAGCCAGGTCTTTTTGCCTTATTGGCGTTGCTTCGTCATTTGCGTTGCCTGAGTCCTGGAATAACCTCGGTTTCATCTCCCTGTCGGCCATTGCCTTCATGCACTCCACGCGGAATGACCTTAACCACGCCTTTTCACTCACGATTCTCTGGTTGGATCCCTACCGTATTTTTATCACTTGCGCTTCAGTTTCGCTTCATTCAAAGTTTTATCGCGCACTTCATTAGCTCATTTTTTCGCTGCAATTTCACAGCCATCGCACTGACGTGTCCGACTGTCCCACTCGTAAAACCTTCTTTACGACCATTCCCATATTACAGGCGGACGCGATCTCACCATTTCAGGCGCGGCTGCAAGACAACATCTGGCCAATTTTTTTTACAAACTGTTCGGGGATTCCGGGTAGTAAACAAGATGAAAATGTGAGACTGTGTTGAGTAGCAAAATTTATTTTAACTAAATATAAGATCAAAACGTGCTATATGCCAGCGCACATGTTGCTCTATCTAGAAAGCAGTCTTTTCTATCCGGGACTGGAAAATGGGTATTGGCTACCACTCATTATCTTGAAGTTGACTTTTTCGTCTTTTCCGTTTTTGTGAAAAACTGTGTTGACCATATACTCCTGCTGGACGATGTCGTGTATGGCAAACTTTTTATTAATTCCGCTTAATTCTAGCTAACTTTCTTTAAGAAGTAGTTTCCACATGTCACTTTACAGGAAGTAAACGGTCGTGCTCCAATACAAAGTAGCTGCGGAACATCTCTACCTTCTTATAGAAAAGCTAACTGGCGATGATTAAACGCGCCACCGTACTGCCAGGTATGCAGAAGAGGACATATACCGACAGGCAAATCAGTTGATGACTAGTTCCTGAGTCAGTACCTTAAGTTCCCGTCGCTGGCAACAAAAAACGGGGATTCCCCAACTCGTCAAAACACGAAATGCCGAGAGCAAGCTAGTAAGTGTCCATTAATTAGAGTCAAATTACAACCTTATCTAAAGGTCAGGCTGTTCCATCTGTGGGGATATTCACTATGGGCACACGGCTCGCGATCTGAGACTCCAAGTGTCGAGTGTACCGGAAGGTGCAACGCCTGAATAGAAACGGACAAATGCATAAACACCCTCAGTTTACATTTCCCACATTCGGTAAAACAACGCAAGATGGACTTAAATATCAACGAATTCTTTCAGTAAACCATGAATCTTTCGGAGATTGGCGACCGCATAAGACACCGAAACTACCAAATGACCGTTCGACCGTCGCATCTGACGATGCCCATCGTGTGCTTCACAACAAGGTGCAACAGGCACGGTGACTTGCATGTGTGACGCAAATTTTCCCTACGCAGGTAAGATCTGGAAGATCTGCCTGCCCGCTCCAAATACAGCCAGTAGGTTAGCCGGCTGACAAGTTCCACATTATTTATTAACGAGACCGACGATGTCCACAGCAGGATGAGAGCCGGGACAATGACTTGCGCGTGAGTTAGTTTATAGTGATAGCAGACTTGCGCAACTTCCACCGCACTCTCCCCTCCTCGCCACCTGGACACTGTGTCAAGACAGAGTCAAGAAGACCGGATGCGGGAGATGGCGCTGGTGGCCGGCACGGCCGGACCAGCATCTAGGCGTACCACCACACCTCATGATCCACAACAAACACCTGACCAGCATTTTAACCTACAACAACAACAGCCATGCACACGGTCCGTATACCCAACGCGAGCACAAGCGCATTCACCGGCAGTAAACCAGGTGTCAGAGAACTGCCAGTGTGCACTAGGCTACGAGGTTTGTTAATTCCGGCATAGCAGAAGATCACAAACCGTAAGGCCTAGAAACGAAAGTTACATGATTAAAGGCTACCTGGACAGCGAAAATACTTTATCACAAGCGACCACCTCCACGCTCATTATGAAAGAGAATTCAGGTGATAAAAGCTGAAGATTGTAATTTACGCGCTTAAACATGAATTTACCGTCAATGTTATACACCATTCGCAACTGAGAAGGGCACACACCCTGGTGGGATTCGAACCAGATTCCCCTGCGTCCACCAAACGGGTTTTCATAGCCATCCGGGTTTTGGAAGAACGACCGACTGGCGTATAACTCAACAATATATAAGCTGGCGTACGCCCGTTTTGGCGGGCTTGAATTACAAATAATCCATAAACCAGATAAGAGATTTGTTGCACTCGATGGAACAATTAACCAGTATTATTTTTTTATTTCGAAACAGAAATAAGTGAATGCGAGGAAAGCCCTTCCACCGTTTGTTTTTCATTATTTTAAATAAGCAGCACATTCGAGGAATCAGTCAGCCGTCGACTTCTGTCAGTCCCGCTTTTTAGATTTTTTCTCCTTAAACTTTTACTTGCTTTTAAGTTCGCTCACTAGCCTCAGTGACATGCTTCTCCCCTTCGTGGTGTTATTTGCAGATATATGTGGAGTTCGGCCCGATTATTATTTCGGACCCAACGTGAAGCGTCCGCCCCCCGCACAAACGCTACATTAAATCAACTAACTTACTTACTAGGGTGAGGTCAGAACACCCCCGCCCAGGATGTCCCACACCAGTTTTATATGCCAATTATCGCGTCCATCGTGCGCAGTTAAGTTATTCACAGGTCAATATCTGCCTATATCTGATTCGTTCCTGTCCCAAAGTCTGTGGCTTACAAGAAACTTTGCGGTGTGTTAAGACTGCAGTTGGCGGAACGTGAAATATATTGCAAGCAATTCCAGTGTCGGACGGTGCCGCTAGTAACTAACAGGTTTGGGAGTCGAGCCCCAGGTGTTCCACACGTCGGGGTTGGTTATGACTGGCTGATGTCCGCTAATAAGCCAGAAATAGCCATTCCAGTCTCCCTTGTCGTTCTCGGTAATAACATTCTGCCTATATTATGCGCCGCTATGTGGCTGCTTGTTGGACTCGAGAGAGAGCCCATAAGGCACAACGCAACGAGTGAGCTCCGTAAGAATGATTGGTGGGCGTCCCCTACCATTGTATATACCCGATCAAAACGGACAGGACGAGTCTGTGATTCAGTGGTTAGAGGCGTTCGACTTCTAACCTACGGGTCGCGGGATTGAGCCCCAGGTGTTCCACCTTTCGGGGCTGGGTATGACTGGCTGATGACGACCGACAAGCCAGAAATGACAATCCCAGTCCCGCATTGTCTTTGTCGGTAATAACACTCTGCTTGTGACTTCGTCCACGACAGACACAGAATATGGAACATCGGTCCCACAAAAATGTGGACATTACAGATCGTATGATAGTCGAGTCCGACGCTAAAGTAACGGACCAGCTTGCTCG